CTGCAGTGCAGCACATAGCCCCTTAATGGTGCTCGACCTTTCCACACCTCAATATGTCATCCATTTTACTAACTTTGCACAAATTCAGGAATAAATTCCTAAAAATTAAATGCTCGGTAAAAACTTTACTGGTGGGATTTCTATAAAGCTGATAAAAACTAGTTAACAAACTTGGCAAACTCCAAGAAACAATTAAATTAGAATGGTGTCTAAAATACTCAAACTGGACGGATGTACTCACCTCACATATTCATTTTAGGCAGTCCAGGAGAGGAAAGCATCAGACAACTGAAATATTTTTCCTGCGCAACATTGGTTGATGGCGTAAGCTCAGCAGGTGCAGAAGGGCTGCCAACCAAATCATGGAGTGAGATTTTGAAACAATTTTGACACGCAACCTTGTTAGGGTTAGATGACGACAAGGTGCAGCTATAGGATGTAGGTTTTCAGACGATTTAACTGAAAAAAACTTGTAAAATCTTGAATTTTTATAGCACAGTAAATGTTACTGAGTAACAATAAGTGATACGTAGTTATGTGGAACATTTTTCACACAGTATACAGTATTTTCTACATTCTGGTAATTTTCGGAGAACTGAAGTAAAGATGTATGGGCCCTACTAAAATACTTGCATCTTAAATATACTGTAAATTAAGAATTTCACAGCTATGGTTAGTAATTATTCTATGCAGTTCAGGTAATATAATCTATAGGGAACTACTGTAATAAGTTATTATTGGATTACTGGCACTAATATTACAACCACTGAAATCGATTCTTGTGCAGACTACACTGTGTATGAATATTTGGTAACAGGCTAAGGATTAAAAATCTTAACTTATTAGCTCATTTATTTATTTATTTATTTCTACCTATTTTATAGGTCTGATGTTGCAGGGGCAGGTAATGAAAAGTGTTAGGAGCATGCTCTTGTTATGATGCCAGTTTGTTTCAGCCTTTATCCAGTCTCATGTAGAAGGGCTGGTCATATCACAGGTTATTTGCATTGCAACAAGGACAGTTAGCAAGATAGAGTGAATAAACAAACTTGAAGAGGGGAGAGGAGCTTGCAGGGAAACTGAAATTCTCTGGGACATCTAGTGTTAACATATAACGTGATGCTGGAGCCACTCTGGCCACCATATGCCAGCATGAGAATGTCCATTTTGGCTGATCTTCACAGAAGAGAAGACAGATTAAGAAATGAATAGATGTAACAGTTATTTAAAACTGAAAATAAAAGGAAATTAATTTTCAACAACTTTATTTGGTAAAAAAAAATATTTTATTAAATGATTTTCCTAAATCAGATATCAGTAGATTGATTCTTAGCCTTCTGTGATTGTTTCTGATGGGTAGTTAAAATAATCACCTGGTGAAACAATGTGGTTGGTACATGTATATAGAAGACATGAGATGACTGAATTAAAAAGGGATTCTTGATCAGATCTTGCAGTCAAATGTAATAAGCATATCAGAAAACACATAAATGTTAAAATTATATTAGTGCTTAAATCTTCAGTGAAATTAAGTTTATTTTAGCACATATAAACAAAAGCCCAAACATGTCAGCATGACATAGCATACATTCACTATTAGCTTCTTGTATGCTTGCTTACTCTACAGTTAACACAGTGTTGATAAAAAATTAAAACCAAACAATTGTTTAGCTGGAAACTCTTTGCCTAACGTGACCTGCATCATCTGTTGATCTCTATTTTGGAAAAATTAGGCTTCTCAACCTTTAGAAAAGCTTAACCCAGGCCATTTTGTTAGATATGTTTTTGTGTTGATGTCCTACAGTAACTGAGAGGCTTTTGTCTTTTGTGGTCGTGTGAAACCAAGTCTGGGACTTTATTGTTATTACTATAAACTTAACGAAAATGTTACAGACATTCTTTTTGCAGCAATTTAGTTCTGAATGTGGGTTCAGGACTATGTAGTTTGAGCAGGGGTTGAGGAATTAAGTCCATTTAGCCATGTAGTGTTTGTTCTTCCCGAAGTGGCCCCTCTCTTTGGAATTCCACCAGCAGGCAAAAAGAGTGATTTGCCAGGGAAGCATTCTGACCAAGGCCTGCTGGTTTAATTTGAATGGTTTTAACTCTTAACTCAAAATTTTTTTAAACACAGGTTGCCTGCACAAACTGGAAAAGGATTATGTATGTCTTGAAAAAGGGCAAGCCTTACATCGACCCTGCAGCTGTTCCTCCCAATGCTGTACATCAAACAAAAGCACTCAAATATCTGTCAAACTTCAGTCCAGCAGAGAGGGAAGTAAGTAAATGTATTTATGTCTTGTCAGAATTTAAGGTATCAAATCTTGCAATAATAAAATACATGTACATTTATTTCAGTATTTTTTTCTCAAGTGCCAATTCCAACCAGTGCAGCTACTCCTCTTAATGTCATATAATTACTCAACAAAAGCATGAGTAATACTTTTATGCAGATCAATCTATGAACTGTTTATTATACAGAAATAAAAGGAAAAAGAAAAAAGCTATGTCTGTCATATTAGCATTAGTAAATAGTAACTATTAGTGAAATAAGCATGAGTAGTAGTAGTAGCATTTGTCCAAGGGCCATACAGAGAAATCATGACCTTTCTTATTATTATATTTTTTACACCAAACAATACCCTACAGAAGAAAATTGATGCTTCAAAAAGCAAACATACAAATAAACTCTGTAGTGGTATCTAGATAGGAAACAATATTTACTTTGGTTCATCTCTATAAGAACCCACAAACTATTATTGGAGAGGTTGTCTAAAACAGCAACAGTTTTCCTATTGTAGATATTTAACAAAAATGATACACTGTGTTTTATTAAAAAGTCATAAATAGTTTGTGGCTCTATATGACGTTGATTAAGCTGGACTCAAGGCAAAAAGGCTCTTTGGATATGAAAATTGTACAGACCCCAGTCTAAAGGAAGTCTATTCGACAGATGAGTTGCTAAAAATATCAATTCTCGGTCAGCAACAATGCTTACTATAGCCCCATTTACACTACCCTTGAAAAACCGATCCAGGCCGAGACCGGTCCGAGCTTGGATCGGTAACCAGGCCAAGCTCAGTTTTGACGACCGTTCACACGTCACACTTATCTCGGTTATCTCGACTCCTCGCCTCCTAGTGACGATGTGCAGTATTACTGCTAGGATTGAAGGAGGGACTCAAGCAGCTGGTGGCGGTAATGCACCAAACGCTGTTTGTCAACCGCCGTAAAACCCAAGAAGAAGAAGACGAAGGAGGAGGGAATCAAGCAAATCAAAATGGCGGCGCCCGTCACATTCAGAAAGTTATGCTTGATTATTATTGCTGTACTTCCGTGTTTGCGGTGGGTCAGGCGAAGACGGCAACCTTGCGCGGATGTACTTGAATGGAGTGTGAATCGGCATGTTCAGCCAGTCGGCGATGACGCGTTCTGCTCATGCGCTCTTGTTATCAGAGAACCGAGCCAGGAAAAAACCGAGCCGAACCCACCTCGGGAACTGGTCTGCAGTTAGCGCGGTCCGGTTATGTCTATCTCGGTTCAGTTCAGGTTGTTTCCGTTCACACACGACAAGTTATCTCAGTTACTGAGCTCGGACCGGTCTCGGCTCAGTTTTTTAAGGGTAGTGTAAACGGGGTATATAAGTACAAGGAGATCTGATAAAAGTAGATTCAATAACCTTAGGTATTTGCTATGTACAGAAATTTCTACTGTAAATATTTAACTAAATAAGGTAGAGACCAAACATTAACAGCTTTGAAAACAAATAACACAACAAAAGTTCAAACTGAGTTCTTAAATGGACAGGAAAACAGTGAAAAGGGGATAAGTCAGGGGTTATATGCTCACTTCTAGAGTTGTTGGTTAAAAGGCAGTCACCCATGTTCTGTAATGTTGGAGATGCTTTTAGAAGACAGAGAAGCACTGTACTGAAAGTATTACAAAAGTCCATCCATTTTCTTCCGCTTATCCGGGGCCGAGTTATGGAGGCAGCAGCCTAGATGCAAAGATGCAGACTTCCCGATCATCCAGACTCCCCCCACCCCCCGCCTGCCAAAGGCCACTATGAGGGACTCGGTCGAAAGCCTTCTCCAGGTCCACAAAACACATGTGGATTGGTTGGGCGAACTCCCACGAACCCTCGAGCACCCAATGAGGGGTATTGAGCTGGTCCGGTGTGCCATGACCAGGATGAAAACCGCATTGTTCCTCCTTGATCTGAGGTTCGTCTATCGGCAGGACCCTTCTCTCCAGCACCCTGGAGTAGACCTTACCGGCAACGTTGAGGAGTGTGATCCCTCTGTAATTGGAGCACACCCTCCGGTCCCCCTTTTTAAAGAGAGGGACCACCACCCGGTCTGCCAGTCCAGGGGTACTGTCCCCGACCACCACGCGATATTGGAGAGACATGTCAGCCAAGACAGTCTCACAACATCCAGAGACTTAAGGTACTCAGAACAAATCTCATCCACCCCCGGGGCCCTGCCACCAGGAGGCTTTCTAACTACCCTGGTGACTTCAGCCTGGCTGATGGGCGAGTCTGCCTCTGTCTCCTGCCTCTGCCTCCTCCTCGGAAGGCGTGGTGATGGGATAGAGGAGATCCTAGAAGTACTCCTTCCATCGCTGAACAATGTCCCCAGTTGAGGTCAGCTGCTCCCCACCCGCATTGTAAACAGTGTTGGTGAAGCACCGCTTCCCCCTCCTAAGGCAGCAGATGGTTTGCCAGAACACTCTCGAGGCTGCACAGGCTGCAGTACGCTTGGCCTGCCGATACCTCTCAGCTGACTCTGGAGTCTCACTAGCTAACAAGGCCAGGTAGGCCTCCATCTTCAGCTTGATTGCATCCCTTACTTCCGGGCGCCACCACTGGGTTTGGGGACTGGCAGCCACACCTACAGATAACCGCATTGGCCATGTAGGAGGAGAACATGTACCACTCTGACTTCATGTCTCCAACCTCCAAGTCAAGTCCAAAATTTTAAAAAAGATTTAATTTTGGCCAGATGCAGGTGGAGAAAGCATTATTACTTGTAAAGTGTGCTTACTACACTTTTTTGATATGTTAACAATCTATCCCTGTTTGGTATCAAAAGTTACATTTGGGAACTAAGGTCCAGTATGATTGAATTGTTTTTTTTTTTCTACAGATCAGGCTGATGAACTACACGAAGTTTCTCTTCGTTCGGGACCCATTTGTTCGCCTTATCTCTGCTTTCCGAGACAAGTTCCAACCCATAAATGAGCCCTTTTATAAATCTTACGGAAAAACTATGGTGAAACTCTACCGTAACCAGTCTCATCCTCCCAAAACACATAAAGAGGCAGTAGCTTTAGGATTGCAACCAACATTTTACAACTTTGTTCAGTACTTGTTGGACCCACGAACAGAAAAATATGTGCCCTTTAACGAGCACTGGAGACAAATGCATCACCTGTGTCACCCCTGCATGTTAGAGTAAGATTTTTTTTTTTTTTTTAAGTGAAAAAAACATTTCTAAAACAGAACAAAAAAATGAAATGTTGGAACAAATATCTTTATAAACAGTGTTTGTTTTTTTACAGGTATGATTTTATTGGTCACCAGGAGACGCTTCAGGAAGATGCTGAAGAGCTTCTTAAAATGTTAGAGGTGGAAAACGAAATTAAGTTTCCACCCACTAAAAATGCAACTACATCGAATTTGATCAAGGAATGGTTTAAAACGGTGCCTCGAGAGGACAGGAGGATGTTGTACAAACTCTATAAATGGGATTTTAAAATTTTTGGATTCAAAAGGCCAGATGAAATCCTAGATAGTTAATATTTACGTTGATCGGTTGAGATTTAAGGTTTATAATATGGAATATATTGTGTAAATAAAGATGATGCATGTGGATGATTTTATTGGGAAATAAGTAGTTATGACTGGTTAGGTTGTGTGGCCATAAGGCATTTAGGAGTTTATCATCTTTATAATCGTAATGTTTACCTGTTTTTTTATGGATGATGTGCATTACATCTATGTTCTCTTCTTTTATGTCTCTGTTTCCATGACTTTGACTGCAAAGATTATGGGATACACTATACAAGAACTAAAGCTCTACAAATATTCCTGCTGTCTTATTAAAGTATTCCAACTGCTACAATATTGAAATTTAATTTGAACATTGACCACTGTTGATTAAATGCTCCCAAATCTTGAAACACTCCAGTTTCTTATTTTAAATATACTAAAAGCCTACCAATAAAAACCATACCAGAATGATCTGTATTCATGTCCCAATAAATAATTCGCTTTACAGCAGGTCACAATGGAAATACGTTACAATATTTAAGTACGTAGAAACAGCTTCAGCAGCTTTAACCAAGGTGCATAAATACCAAAATGTGTACATTAATATCGTCTCCAAGAATATTAAGGTTTCAGTATGTTCCTGTTTTTTTTCTGAAGTCTACAAGAATGTATCTTGTTTTGTTGACATTTAGGATCAAAGTATTGTTTACACACTATGCCACACAGCTTTTCACCAGCTCTCTGTACTCATCTTCTTGTCCATATATGATGCAAGCAGTAACTGCAGAGTCATCTGAGTATTTCTGCAGGAAGTCTACTGGAAGTCAGACAGCATATAAAGGAATGAACAGAGTAATGTCCGCTGTGGTGCTCTTGTACTGCTGACTACTTGATTATACAACTGACCCTTCAGTTTAACAAACGCTGGTCTGTTTTTTCATGTACTTTGACCCAGGCAATTGCTGATGTATCCACCTGAGTCTGGTGAAGTTATATGACAATGGGCAGGAGAGAAAGATACTGAACTTATTCCTGAACTGAACCTATTAAATAACGTATTTAGTTAATTTGCTATGTCCAAACTTCAAACTGCCTGACTATCTTTCAGCTTGAAGCCTGTGATCTTCTTCATCCCTCGCCCCACATCTCTGATATTGTTCTGCTGTAGAATGTTTTCTTGGTTCTTCCTGTCTGGCTCCTTGCCTTCTCTTATCTTGATCTTAAAGGTATAAAGGAGGATATTTTATTTCTGGGTGGATCATCTAAATAAGTTGTCCTCCTGTCAGTCATCCTGGTTATATGTTTGAGTAAGGCCGTTCTACGTGCTCTACTCGTTAGCTATCTTTTTCTGTGCATGCACACTTTCAGCTGCATATGTGTGGTGATCTTTGGTTTCAGACAATCATTGGGGCCTCGCCACGGTTCTTTGAAAATGGGCAAGGGTCCTAAGAGAAAAAGGTTCTATGAAGTGTATGAGAAGAAAACAAAGGCCTCGGAATAGGCAGATCTATCCCATAATGCTTTACATGGAGAGCTCTCCTCGCAAAGCATTATGTGATTTGCTGTCACAGCAGACAGTTGCCATAGGCTGTCGCTACCCTACAACAGCAACTACCGTATTTTCACCACCATAAGGCGCACCATACTAAAAGGCGCAGTCTCAGTTATGTATGGCATTACTGTATTTAACACACGCATAAGGCGCACCGGACTATAGGGCGCGGGTTTTATATACCGGTATGTATCCTCTACTACGGTTAAATACCTCTACTGCGTATTTAAAAATAGAGCGGGAGAAAAACTGAGTATGATTGTGCTTTATTCATGTATTTATTACAAAGTATTAATCAAACTTGGGAGCAGGCCGTG